GGGTACTGGGAACTGAACTTTGGGGTACTGGGAACTGAACTTTGGGGTACTGGGAACTGAACTTTGGTTCTCTGAAAAAGCAGCAAGCGGTCTTAACTGCTGAGCCATCTCTCCACATACCCCGCAGCTCCATGTTTATTCTCCATAATCAGCAAATTTCTATAGAATTGCTAAATGCCATCTACTGACTTCTGTGGTACTGTGTGAGAGTCTTGGCTCAATCATTAAGACCTCAGAACAAAGCTGGAGGTTGCTTCTGTTTCCACCCAATGATTGGATAGCACAGATACGTTTCCACCCAATGATTGAATAGCACAGATATTAAGTAAGTTATCTGTATCACCCAGACTGAGTCAGGATTCAAACATGGCAGTCGAGCCTCAGGGGTGGATTCATCTCCTCTGCCTCAAGCATTCTTCCGTCCTAAAGTACAACCGCAACCTTTAAAACTCAGCTCAAGAACCACCTCCCCCTTGGTCGCCTGCCTCAGCTACGCTTCAGAGTTTGCTATTCTTTTTTATATTTCATTTTTTTTCTTCTGCACTTACCCACTGTGTGCAGCACACTGCGGTGTCAGATATTTGTGTCTCTTACAAGACAGTTGGCTTCTTGAGGACACAGAACTAACAACATAGTAATATCATGTACTCATTCAGATACTTCATAGAGCACCCCACCACAGGCCAGGAACCAAGGGCAGACACATGAAATGCTGTCTTGACTTTCGAGGAACTTATGGTTCATACAAAACCAGGCAGAGGGTCTGAGCCCTACCTGTCTGTGTGCCTTTCCCTGACAGTATGCTCAGGGAAGCACACAAGCAGACATGGAAGCTAGCGACACAACTAGAAACCTCTAGCCTCCCTCCCAGCTCCCTCTCTCAGCTATGGTTCTCATTGTGGTGGTTCCTCTAGTTTATTCCACATCTTGGAGGGGCCATATAGAGAGAATCTTCTTACCAATGTCCTCGGTATCTGAAAGGGAAGCAATACAAAGCCGTTAGTAATATTCTTATCAGCGACTAAGACCCATCCTGCTTCCGTGGGTTAGGACCCCTTCCCTCAAACTTAAGAGCACAACAGATCTTGAAGTTTCTTTGGCTGCACATGACAAGCTGTTCAGAGCCTTACATGCTACATTCTATATCTGTTGGCTATGCAAAAAAATGGCTGCCATGGAGACCAGGTATACACTAAAGGGGAGGAGCCTGTCACAGTTGCTGCTTTCCAATACAATGTTGCTTCTCTGTTTGGAGGTGCTGACTGGACTGGACAGAGAGGCTTCCAGGTTTGGGATGGCCTTGACTCTATTTCCTTGCCTGAGAAAATAAAGTTCAGACTAGTGCACAAAGAGACACCCACATTCAGACTATGTGAGGGTGTGATTATGAATGTACACCCAGATGCCATCCCAAATCTTAACCAGGGTCACCCTATGCACGCGTTCTGGCCAATTTTACATCCTCTGCCATCCTCATATCAAACAGGAAAAGCAGAAGAATGAAACCACTGATACTACTTTTTTGTTTTGTTTTGTTTTTGAGACAGGGTTTCTTTGTGTAACAAGCCCTGGCTGTCCTGGACTCGCTTTGTAGATCAGGCTGGCCTCAAACTCACAGATATCTGCTTGCCTCTGCCTCCCAAGTGCTGAGATGGAAAGCATGTGCCAGCACATCTGATGCTTTTAACTTTTTGTTTGTAAGTGTATGCTAGCGTTCCTGTGAGCACATGCATGTGTGTGTGTGTGTGTGTGTGTGTGTGTGTGTGTGTGCCTGTAGAGGTAGACATCAGATGTCTTCTGCAATAGCTCTCCATCTTACTGCTTTTGAGACAAGGTGTCTCGCTGAACCTGGACCTTGATGACAAGGCTATACTGGCTTCCAGGAAGCCCCAGAGATCCTCCTGTCTCTGCCTTCCTGGTGCTTGGATTGTGCCTGATTTTTGTCAGGCAAACATTTTACCAACTGAGTCACCTTCCCAGCTCTACATTAAACTTTTAAACATTTTTTAAAGTGTTCAGACACATCATTTTCTGCCGTCTCTTGGTTCTCTAACCTGGGGTGCACCTATGAGGCAAAGGAAGAGAAAAGTCTTGCACTGCTGTCTGTGGAATGTCTAAGGGAAACCTTGACGAAATTGCTCTTTGAATATAGTCAGTTCTGAGAAACGCATTCTTAAGTGATTTGGTCATTGAACATATGTCATGGCACAAATGTACACAAACCTAGATAGCAGAAGCCACTGTTCAACTCAACTATATGGTGTAGCGTGTTGTGCCTACTGTTCACCTAGACTATACAGTGTAAAGTATTGTGTCCATGAAATTATACTGCACAGACAATCACAACACAAATAGCAAGTGTCTGTGCATGGACACACAAAACAGATACAGGTGATGGGCGCTTTCCAGCTCCACTGTAATTGCGTGGGATCGCTGGTGTATAGAGTAGCCATCAGTTATAGACTAGAGGGCACTGTTATTTAGAGCGACGGCTAAATCAAGAACCCTGGCATGACTCTCATAGCAAAGAAAGAAATCATATCTTACCTTCCTGGCAAGTGCCAACTGGAAAACAAACAGTAGAGAGATGAGTTAGTAAGTGCTGTGAATGCCTGAAATTCCAAACAAAAAGAGGTGCGCTCCTGTCTGTCCAGAACTGGCACCTCAAGTCCTTTTCACCCACTGTTACATGACAGTCACTTCTATACCACAGTGAAGGACATTTCCTGCAGGATATCAGGGAGAGGATCCCAGCCAACTCAGGAGGAAGCTGAACGAGGAAACATCTAGCGTTCAAGGTGGATGCACGGTATTTGACAAATAAAACGTAAGGAAGCAGAGGTTCCTTTCCGGGTGGCTCAAGAAAGAGCAGCCGAGCTTTGCAGCAGCCCCTCCATTTTGAAAACTGCTCTCTGACTTCAGATGGAAAAGAAGCCCTTGGTGGGTGCAGGTGTTAGGATTCTTTCTCATTCTGTCTTTGCTGAGCTCAAAATTTCCATTTGGTTTCTGCTTGAGACAAAGGTGGGGATATTTGAAAGCCTGACTACTCATCAACTAGAGCCTGTGCATCTGGGCTATCCTGGGTGCCCTCACTCAGCATTGAGCTGGGTCTGCTACAGTGGCTAGTTCTCCCAGCATCATCTGAGCATTTTGTCTATGAAGAGTCTCCGTATAGGGGGAGGCGTTCTCCCATCCCCAGACAAAGCACATATTTATGATGCTTGGATCTTCAATATTCTCCTTATCTCCCTCTTCCCTCTTTATCTTTCTCTTTATTATGTTTGTTTACATTTGGTATGTGTGTGTATGTGCGTCTGTATGTGTGTGTGTGTCTGTATGTGTATATGTGTGTGTTTGTGTGTGTATGTGTGTAGTATGTGTATATATATGTGTGTGTATGTGTGTGTGTATGTGTGTGTCTGTATGTGTGTATGTGTGTGTGTATGTGTGTGTCTGTATGTGTCTGTATGCATGTGTGTCTGTATGTGTGTGTAAGTGTGTGTATGTGTGTGTGTGTGTTACGGGACTGGGATGTCAGAGGGCAACCTGTGGGAATTGCTTCTCTCCTTTCACATGTAGGGCCTGGGGAGGGAATGTAGGTTGTTGTTGACCTTGGTTGGGGACACTTCAGCCACTGAACTATCCCATCTCTTTTCTCTGAACTATCTTTTCTTAAGTTATGTTTTCATTATTTATTTATTTAATTTAAATGTAAGGGACAGTACAACTAATACCATAGACCTTTAAGAAAATGTCTGACTGTTTCTCTCAGGAGTCATAGTCTGCCCCTTGAGACTCAAAGTGTGTTCCTTGGGTCAGTCACATGTAAATAAACCCAAAGCTTGTTAGAAATACGGGATTTTGAAGGAGGTGCTGGCACAAGCTTGGAATCCTAGCATTCACGAGGCTAAGGCAGAAGGACAGAGTTTAAGACAGGTCCATCTAGACTGTAGCATGAGCCTGTGACTCACAAGCAGCCAGTCACGTCACCCAGGCCCCCCAGTGAAGGTGTGTGCAGGATCAAGCTTGAGAAGCCCAAGGGGAAGCAGGAAATGGAGGCACAGTGGCTGTGGTGCGGAGAGAGGAGCCCGGCTGCAGCAGGACGGTACTGTCTAGGTCTTTGATGTAAAACTCTCACGAGCTATTTGGCTCACAAAGTGCATGCAGCCCTTCTGAGCCCAGGCCCTGTAGACAGACACCCCTGGTTTCCCAGATCAACTTCCAGAATGCTGTTTAACAATGAATGATCATTGAATCGTGCCTGACAACTTCATCCATAAGACGGGGCCGTACCACCTTTCTTCCACGGAAGAAGTAAGAATCCAATTGATTAACCCTTGTTTCTTCATGCAGTGGATACACTTAGCAAAGGGCTGTGTGTGTGTGTGTGTGTTGTTTATGTCACACGTGCGCTCTCAACTATCAATTATATCCCACCTTACTTCAGGAAAAGGACAAACTAGTTGGAATCTCTTGGTCACTTCCAAAAGACTGGAGATTCCAAAGTGTTTGTCTCATAGGTACTAAGCTGGGACGAGCCTGGGTCTAACTATCCCGTCTCCCCAAAACCAAGAGAGGCACTATCCCTGCTCATTCCCTTTGTGTTAGCTCTTAGCATTGCTAAGTTTACAGACGGGCTCATTCTCCATGACAGACAGACCTCTTCTCTCTGTTGATGAGATCAACCCAATTGGTTTCCTTCGCCTGTCTCCTGAACTGCCTCCCCGCACCTGGGCTACATTTCTTTCTTGTCCCCAGCCCTCGCTTCCCCTCCTAACGACATTACCAACAGTTCCTTGAATCTTCTAGTGACTGAGGCACCAGCTGCACCGGGCAAGACTGTGAGCCTTGCAATGGCCTGGGTGTTGTGGGAGCCTGGGTGGGAAAGCAACACCCTTTCATTGCCCCCCTACTCACCCGCTAAGAGGCTGAGTCCCAGAACGCCCCAGAAAGCGTTCCACCGCATCCTCTCAGAACGCTGTCTCTACTAAGATGGCGGACACAGCCAGTTCATTACTTCTGAAAAGGAAACAGATGAAGTTTTCAACATACTGGCTGAACGTAAAGACTCTGGAGCACTGTTTGCCATAATAGGATGAAAAGGGGGGGCACTTAATAAGGAGAGACTTACCATTTCTGAAGAAGGTACCAGAAGCGAGCAGGGGAGGCAGGTGTCTGAACCCCACACAGGAAGTGTAGGGGAGACTCAGGGCCCGCCTGTTCCACGTCACTTGGAAATGTTTGAGGCAGAAGCCTCCGCCTTGGTTAACTGAGGAAATCCGGGCCTCACGGCCTTCCCATAAGGATGAACATGGGGGGCTCTAGCCAGCCCCTGAGAATGCTGTGAAAAACACCTACCTGTGCCCTGTGCAAAGCACCTCCACACTGAGGGCGCCTTCCTTATGCCTAACCTCCCAGCGGAGGCAGGAAGACATTCAGTATCTGCCTTCTTTTATGGTGCCCTTGGGTTTGAGCAGCAGGTTGGAGCCATCTCATTAAAAATCTTTGTGGGGCTTGGTTTGTTTTCCTTCTTTCTTCGAGACAGGATTTTAGCACGCAGTCGTCCTGGCCTCTCATTGCACATGCTGGGCAGTCGCTGGACAATGAGAGAGCTACACGGCTGGGTTTCTGTGTCCTACGCTATGCTAGGGGCTTTACTCATGCATCCACCAGGGTAGCTTTTAGCATTATTACTTAAAATCTAGCAAAAGTACTTTCTGAGTTATAAGCAACCATCTTTTTCTTTGTAAAAAAAAAAAAAGTTTATTGACTTTGTTCTTCGATAATTTCATACATGTGTAACACACTTTCTGATGATTAATTTCCCTTTCTCAACCAGTCTTTCTACATTTTTTATTAAAAATGTTTATTTTATTTACTTATTTATTTATTTATTTATTTATTATATGCGTATATGTGTGGGCATATACATTCCGCAGCATGTGTGGAAGTAGGAAGACAACTTGAGGAAATCTTCCTAACACGTGAGTCCCAGGTTTCAATTCAGATCTTTAGGTTTGTAACCACAAACAACTTTATCTGTTGAGGTATCTCTCTGGCTCCGTTTCTTGATATATCTACTGAGTTTAACGACGGTTATCTGTGTCACAGTGGATTTGGAACTGTCTACTGGGGCCCAAGGAGTTCTTCAGTGGGTACAGAACTGAAGAAAATGACTGCCTTTCTTCCAGAATCCATCTACAACCTACAGTTCAGCCGAAAGGCTTAGGGCCTCATAAGTCCCGCCCAAACGCATGATTGACTATTGATAGGCCCAACCGCGTGTAGATCCACTGCTGGCAGCCACAGCTTCTATAAAGTCACGCGTACACAGGCTTTGCTGAGCGTAGAAGTCTTTCTCCCTATTTTCTACTCTTACATTCTTTTTGCCCACCCATATCCCCAGATAAGGGATAGAATCAGACTCAGTACCCAGAGGGACCTCCCTCTTCTCAGATGAGAAGGGGAAGAAGGGATGTGGGCGGGGCGGCCTGAGGGGGGGCTTGAAGGAGAGGGAGGCTGCGATTGAGATGTAAAGTGAATAAGTTAATGTAAAAAAAAATTAAAATCTTTTCGTGTATGTGTAGAGTTTGAGTGTGCGGACGTGTGTGTGTGTGTGTGTGTGTTTGTGGAGGCCAGAGGTGGATGCTAAGCTCTCTTTCTCGATCCCTTTCTGCCTTGTTTCTGAGTCGGGGTCTCCTTTCTGCTTTAGTTTTGAGTCGGGGTCCCCTTTCGGCCTTGCTGTTTTACTCTCTGGCTCTCTCTCACTCCCCTCAGATACCTCCAATACACCCCCCCATTTTTGCCCCTGTAACCCTCTGAGTCCAGTTACCACTGCTTGGTTACCACAGCTGCCGTGAGCTCCTGAGAGCAGGGGCCATGCTGTCCAGAGACAGCCCTTTCCATCTCTCTCCTCTCTCCTGTGGCTCTTCCTCAATGTTCCCTGGGTCCTGGGGGATTGAACTTATGTCACAAGACTTGCTGCCAAGCTCCTTTGCCCACTGAGCCATCCCACCAACACGGTTCTTTAATGTTTTTAGATGGAAACAGTTTAATTACGGAAGTGATGCATTGTTGTTTCTCAGACTTTAGGCTAACATCAAGTGTGGGAGTAATACCGTGGGCGTATGAAAAACAAGGAAGAGCATAGGAAGGCCATATAATAACACCACACCCCACTCATCCCACCCCTACACCTTCCCTCAGGGGCAGAACCACCTTAACAGACCCCTTCCCTCTGGGCTTATATCGTCCCATCTCACAAAGTGCACAGATATCCTATCCTTTGAGTTCTCTGGGAAAGGAACCTCGAGGTGGAGATCTGTGTGCAGGTGGCTCATGGGAGGGCAGGACACCTGCAAAGGAGGGAGGGAAGCCAAATGGCCGACAAGAGAAAGTCAACTTCGGAGAGCCGCAGCTCAGAGGCCTCTGCCAGCGCCTCTCACCGTGGTGAGCACAGTGCTTTCTTGAATTATGGCAAAGGGCACATTACCCGGTAGTTGGATGTAAGCGGTTCCTGGGAGGTGGTGTGGACTTGGGAGAGGCAGCAGGCTCTCCTGAGAGTGATACCTGTGGCCTGGCCGGTTGCCACTCTCAGGGGACAGCAATCCTATGGGTGTGTGTGTGTGTGTGTGAGGGGTTCTGAAGGGGTCCTAGATGGTGTCACACAGATCCAGTTCACGGTGGCACTGCTCCGCCATCTGCTCCCCCTCATCCTCAAGCAGCCCTTTCTGGATCTTGATCAATCCCTTTCTTTTTATAAAAAAGATTTGTTTTATATGTAGGAGTGTTTTTGCCAGAATGCATGTAAGTACATCACGCATGTGCAGTACCCGAGGAAGCCAGAAGAGGGCATCAGATCCTTGACGATGGAGTTACAGACTGTTGTTAGCTGCCATGTGGGTGCTAGGAACTGAACTCGGGTCCTCTACATGAGCAGCAAGTGCTCTTAACCTCGGAGGCGTCTCTCTTATCAGAAGTTTTCTTATCTTTTCTTTTATAAAGATTTAGTTATTTATTTTATGTATATGAATACACTTCCACTGTCTTCAGACACACCAGAGGAGAGCATCAGATCCCATTACAGACGGTTGGGAGCCACCATGTGATTGTTGGGAATTGAACCCAGGACCTCTGAGAGGGTAGTGAGCATTTTAACAGCTAAGTCATCTCTGCAGCCCCTCCAGAAGTTTTCTTTTAAAAATTTTATTTTATCTTTGAAAATTTTGAACATGAATTTTTTTTTTTTTTACATTTTATCCACCTGCATTGTCTCCCTCAGTTTTTCCTGGACCCCACCAACCTGCTTCATGATCTATTATTATTATTGTTGTTGTTGTTGTTATTGTTATCATAATTATCGTTATTAATTTTCAGAGTCCAGTAAGTCCTAATCATGTGTGTGGGAGTGAGTGATTATAGGGTCATCCATTGGGGCAGAACCAACCGACAAGCAGGCACCCCCAAAGAAAGGTGGGTCTTCCTCTTTTGGTGGTCATTAACGACCAATAGTTCCTTAGTTAGGAGAGAAGTCTTGGGGGCTGGAGAGATGGCTCAGCGGTTAAGAGCACTGACTGCTCTTCCAGAGGTCCTGAGTTAAATTCCCAGTAAGCACATGGCGGCTCCCAACCATCTGTAATGGGACCCGATGCCCTCTTCTGGTGTGCCTGAAGACAATGACCATGCACTCACATCCATTTAAAAGTAGTTTAAAAAAAAAAAAAGGAGTGGGGTCTCTGGAATCCATGGCTGGATCCTGTTCAGCTCTTATGCAGGTAACCATAGCTGCACTGAGTGGATGTGTGCACCAGCCATGCCCTTCCAGAAGACAGGCTTTCATGGCTCCCCTTCCCACCCTCCAGCTCCTATGTTCTTCCCGCTCGCTCCTCTGCAGTGCTCCCTGAGCCTGAGATAAGGGTTGGAGGTGAGGAGCAGAGGATATTTTCTTAATCCATCAGGATAGCAGTTCCAGATGGTACAGGATGATAGGACCAGTGGAGCCCATGCTCACCCGTCCATTGGGTTCCTGTTTGTGGTGAAGTGTATCTGGTTGTGATGCTCTGCAAGATACAATGGTCGTGGATCGGATACTACAGGAATTCTTAGATGGTATGACTAGCTGAGTCGCTGTATGCAAGAAAGGCAATCCATTAACCAGGGTGTGTCAAATAAATTGTTTTTGCCAAATGAGTCCATCTGGTTGTGGGTACTGACACCTGCAATTTCATGCACTTGGGGGTCTGAGGCAGGAGGAGTGCCCAAGTCTGAAGTGAGTCTGAGAAATGTAGTAAGTTTTACTCCAGCCTGGGATATAGAGCGCGACCCTGTCTCAAACCCGTGGCATTAACAACATGACAACATCAATGACAGCATGCATTTTAGTTAGGGTTTTATTGCTGTGAAAAGACACCATGACCAACACAACTTTTATGAGGGACAACATTTAATTGAGGCTGACTTATAGTTTCAGAAGTTCAGTCCATTATCATCATGGCAGGAAACAGGGCAGCCTGCAGTCAGACATGGTGCTGGAGAAGGAGCTGAGGGTTCTACATCTCCATCTGAAGGCAGCCACGAAGAGACTGACTCTTCTGTACTGGGTAGGGCTTGAGCACTAGAATCCCGCCTACACAGTGACACACTTCCTCCAACAAGGCCACACCTCCTACTAGTAGCACTTCCCATGGACCAAGCGTATTCAAACCACCACAGCAAGTCTCCAGGCTTGGCCCAGAAAGGTTTGCTAAGAAGAGACTGGTTGGTTTGCTCCAGCATCTCAGGGGCTCAGCACTGGGACTCTTTCAGTGGTGGCAGGAGCTATGATAGACTTGACGAGTAAGAGGCTATACTGCGGTGCCCACACGTAGCTCCACCATTGCCACCACACTTCGGTCACAAGCTTGGTTGACTCAGTGTTGAGATGGCCACAGCAGAACTAGTTGTCATTAACTGGCTAAGTCATTTTCTTCTACTTTGTGTTGTGCCCTCTGTCATACATAGACCTCTCTGACAGGCTTCCCTGTCCCTAGTCTTTTGCGATCACTTGTACCAGGTCCTTGAACAATACGTCAAGTTGTTTATTGCTGCCCATGAACCTATTCTGACTTTAGGCCACTTCTCTTTCCATATAAAGTGGATGATCAGGTACAATGCTGGGTGTTGTCAGCGGGAGGGACTCCCCTCCTTGCGGTCTTCAGCCATGAGTGGGGCTTCCCAGTTGCAGCGTTTCATCTTTGACTCTCA